CAAAATGGGGTATTTATATCTTATGCCTTTCTACATGATCTAAATGCTATGTTTTTAAAAATTTCATGGTACAGCTAGAGACTCCGTAAAACACTTTCAGTAAACTATGTGTAGTTATCATGAGGGGTTTGCACCTTTGCAATAGTGCCACTTAAAGCCCTGAGTTTGTACTGTTCCATGAACTTGGTCGACACTGTAAATGGCACTCCTTTTTATATAGTCCTCTAAATGTTTCTTCCTTTAATATCTTGTTATTTAAAGAATTGGTCTCCAAATAGATTTATTGTTGTATCTTCCTGCTAATCATCTGAAAAATAATTCAGGGATAGATATTTTTGATGTGGTTGTAGTCTTCGAGATATTCAAACTAATTATACTTATTCCACTGCCTTGATATAGGTAAGCTTGGCAATTGGCTTTTTGTTTCTTGGAGGAGGAATGCGCTCGTTTTCTTCTAGTAAGAGTGCTATTGCAGCTTTATTGATTACTCTCTATCCTCGATTTCCTATTGGAACAAATGACAATCGCTGCCACCTCCAGGTAAATTTGTTGGTTTAGTTAGGATGAAAATTTTGCAATGGCAATGGTTGATGCTGTCCAGGCTAATACAAAGGAGCAGTATATTCCTACCACAAACTATTGCCTTGGAAAAATCTTCACTCTTTACTAGGTTAATAGTTATATCTGCTGAAAAGGAAAAGACCATGTTGTCTGCCATCTTTGATTTGCAGCCATATTTGGAATGTTTAAATTCCTGAAACATACATTTAATGACAGTCAATGGGTTCTAAAATAACACTCTTCTGTCCTTACCTCAATCCTCATTATGCTCAGCTGTAGCAACTCTTTTTTGTCCTCTTCTCTCTATTTCTGCCAGAGATAATTCCCTTCATTGTATTAGCTCCTGTGTCATTTACTGCCTCCTCATCTGATTTGTTCGTTAAGAATTTATCTTTAAGCAGTTCAGCCATAAGTTAAAAATAAACCTGGGCTTCAGGATCCTTAGCTTCATGCCTTCATTCATAGGATTTCCATTGATTTCTCCATATCAGATGTGCGTGACTCAACTGAAACCATATTGTGATTCATTGGCACAATTTGTCTACCTTACAGATCAGCATGCAATGCAACTATTGATTTTTTTTTTTATTTTCCTTTTTTTACCAAAAAAATAAAATACTATATTATTTTGTATTACTTGATTATTTTTGGCATTTGTTCAACAAGATTATTGCTCATCTGAGATATTGCACTTGCTTTCTCTCAGGCATACAGGCATTTCTATGTACTTGCAACTGAAGCTCGCTGGATTCAAACAGTTGATGTTGACACTGGCTTACCAGTCTATGCCCCTCTTGAAATTACTGTTAAAGAAACTGAACATAATGCAGAGACAAGTTTTTGTGAAGTCACGCCTTGCCTTCTTCCAGAACGTGTCATTGTAAGTTTACAAGTATCATTCTTAGCTATTAACAACTTGGTAAATAATAATAATGATGCTGTTGAACAAGACAAGGAAAACTTCAAAAAAGCAAGTTCATTTTAGAGTTAATATTCTTCTGTAGTTAACTAATTCTAATTCATCATCACAATATTCCTAGAAAGCCCCAAGTTTGACCTCAGGGTTCTGTTGCTTTCAGCTTAAAAGTGTTCGTGTTTGTGGTCCACGGTACTGGCCCCTAGTAATAGAGCTTACTCCTGAAGGTAGTATGTATGCTTTTTTGCTTAGTTTTTTCAAACATTGAATTTATTGAAATAATTTCAATAATAATAATTTAATTTGTAGCTGGTGTTTTTTTCACACAGATAAACCTTGGTGGCTTTCTGGTGACAAAAATCACCCATTTAATTCCGGTGTTCTTTATATCAAAAGAAAGGTTGGAGCATGTTCCTATGTGGATGATCCTGTTGGATGTCAGTCCTTAATATCACGAGCCATGAACAAGGTATTTTTCTTTGGGGAGAGGGGAAAAAAAAAAACTTCTCCTTATCAGCCCATCTCAACTCTCGACATTTGCTTCTTTATCCTTGTGCAGGCATTTAGTTTGACAAGCATGAGAGGTTACACTCCCAAAATCAATAGTGAGCCAAGTTCCAGCAATGTTGATCACCTGGTCAGCACATTTTCATCTGATCCAAGCTTAATTGCTTTTGCTCAGCTTTGCTGTGACTCTTCCTGGAACAGAAGGTAAATGTGTACATGTGAATGATGTAACAGTGTGTGTACATGGTACCGTTTATTTAATCTGTCAAAATCATCCCTTTTTTTTTTCTTTTTTTTTTTTTTTTTTTCTTTCTCTATTTGGTTTATTCTTTATTGGGGTAAATATGCTTAACCTTGCTCTTATGATGGCTGAAAGACTGTCTCTCTCAGGTCCCTATTTCCTTGTCTTAGTTGGGAATATGTGTTATTGGTATTTAACTGCTTGTTTGTCTGGGCAACAGGTCAGATGTTGATTTCCAGGAATTTTGTTTGCAAGTTTTATTTGAGTGTGTTAGCAAGGACAGACCAGCTCTTTTGCAGGTATAGTTTGTCTGCTATTTTTTTCCATACTATAAATCACAGTTGTAGTACAATAAACTTTGTTTGGATTTGCAGCTTATATTTCCATTACCTCTACTATTATAGCTGGCAGGGTACTAGGAATAGTTGCAGTTTTTTTTTTTTTTGGTTGTGTGTTGTATTTTAATCAGTTAAGCTGAACACTATGCAGGTCTACATGTCTTTGTATACAATGATTAGAGCAATGACTGACCAGGTTTCAGGCAACATCGTCACCTTTTTTGATTCCCTCTTCATATCTAGCTTAAAGGTAATCTCTTCACCAGATACTGCAGTTTATCGCTCAGTGTCTACTATTTATACATTATGGGATTGTTCATAGCCACGTCCAACCCATTCTACTGATTTACTTTGCTAAGAGATAATCAGTTCTGGATTTCATAGTGTATTATCACTTTCTCTACTCTGTCTACTTTCTCATTCCAAGGAGCTACATTTTGGACTTGCCAAATAGCATAGACCACGGCTGCAACCGTGCTTCTTGAACATAAATCATATGCATCTCTTCTTCCTGTACAAGATCAAAATAATAGCTCAGCCTGCTGTAGGAAATTTGATGCCTAGACACTGTTAAAGCAAATTGTCTATTATAATTAGGTGCTTATGACTGTTTCCTGGGAGCAAAATCCCTATCCTGCACAGCTTCTCCCTGGTTTGGAGTCCTCTTATGTACAGCAACTTGGATAATGAGTACCTGTTACACACTTACACAGCCCATATGCCCAATAACTGCTCATTCTTGCACATTACCCTGGCATTATTTCCACTTATAAGCCTTTCTTACATATTGTCTACTATTCATCTTTAATCTTCCATATTCTCGTCCACCCTGAGCTGTCAGTGGATGAGGGAACATATTATTTCTCTTTTAAACCTGGAGGCACTCTAACTTGTCAAGAGTACTTATATTAAGGCCTACTAGGCTATGGTATGGAATATGGATCTTTATACTTCATCATGTAATACTTATACGAATTTCTTATCAATGCAGCTTGTAGTAGCTTACAATGAGGCCTTGCTAAGAGGAAGATTATCCTCTTCAAGAGATGGCATTGTTCAATCAAGTTTTCTTGGGTCTCTGAGGAAGCGCGTAGAGGAGCTCTTCAGCTGTTCCCATGAAATGCAAACTGATTTACATAATTATTTGACTTCTGGAAAATGGCCAGATGACAAGCTCTGGGGTAAAAAATGTTCAATACTTTTATCTTGGTACCTTCAGTGGTTTTGTGTACCGTCCCCATCTGTAATCCAAACAACTATGGAGAGATTGAAGCCTAAGCTCAAGACATCCTCTGCAGCTCCTCTGTTGAGGTTAGTATTTCCTCGGATTCATATCCGGGTGATTTCTGAGATAGATAAATTATTAATTTCTGGTTAGGTCATGGCTTTCAAGGTATTCCCATGTCGTACTAAGTTAGTCACTGTAAGTGGTGAGCCTAAGATGGGCTCTTCCAAAGTTCCAAAGCATTATTGGGGGCTGAGCTGTCCTCTGTACAGGCAATACATATGCTTGTAAAATATGTATAGTTTGTTAGGCTTAAGGTAAATTTTCTGTTTGAAACAATGACGAATTTGTTGTTGACTCAAACTGCATGCCTTCTATTTCCGGGTGACCGGGATCAAGAGCCTGACAATGTACATAACCCTGATGTATCTTCGAGTGTAGTTTAGGTTGTGCATTGTATTCAAGGGCCAATGCTGCCGATGTATTCTAGGAAGTAGGAGTTGATGATTTTAGGACTTCTGTCTCCAGAAGTGGAGACTAATGTAATTCAACTCTTCAAAAAGAAGCTAGGAAGTTAGAAAGAAAAAAAAAAATGTTATTTACATTTTTGGTTGAAATATTTGTCTACTACTAGAGTACTAGTCTACTTTTCTCTACTGTATTAATTAATTGTGAATTTTAGCATTTGTTTTGACTGCTCGTATATTTAATTACGATAATCTATTAATAAAAAAAAGTCAATTCAATCAAATGAATGAGGACTTTTATTTTCTGAGCAATACTGTAATCCTTTTGCTATCTTTCGTTCTTACAGTTTTGTAGGATTTATCAGAAAACTAGAAGGTATGTGGCTTACCTATTCCCTAATAGTCAATACTAACAGCTTTAGTTATCATTATCAGTGAAGACTAAAATATAAAACTTCCTCCTTTATTATTATAAGATTTGGACTTTCATGTTTGTCATTAATACAAAGGGAAAAAAAAAAAAACTACTCTTATGGTTGTAATAGACTAAGAACAGCGGAAGACTTAAATATCTTAATGTTTGTTTATGAATTATGATAGATAGTTAAGCTCTTATTTCCATCTAATAAAAATGGCTCAAGCTTTTGTTTAAAATGTGGACGATTTTTTATGACATTATAAATATCTTTAAAAGTGTTGCATGCGATGAGCATAGGCTTAAAAAAGCTCCTATTCGTATACTATTTTAGCTGATCCTAGCAAGCACCCCAACAAGGCCAGCAGAGTTCGCAGTGGCTGCTTCAGCCTGCTGAAAATCACTTCTATCATCACCATAGTTATCATTTTTATCTGGACCACCTACAATCGCCCCGACTAAAACATTCGGGTTAGGCTGATCCTTGTGAAACCAATCCAACCCATCTTTACACCCAACTGGTGTTGGATCCTTCTTGATAGACACAATTGAGGCACCTCTATGATGCACCTTTTGTGGGAAGTTTGACCCATAACCCACCATGTAGCTTGTGCTCTTTGGGTTGGCTCCTAATATGTAGTCAACCTAGTAACCACGAAACAAAGGATTAAAGACTTAAAGGTAAGTTGGTTAAAGTCTTAGAGGGCGATACCCAAGATCTAGAATCAAAACTCGTCTAAGTTATGTGGTGAATCATACCTGTGATCGAGCAAAAGCAATGAGTTCAGGAGGATTAACCAAGGAAGATGAGCATGTTAGTGATTTTCCCGTGGCAGAGAGATAATCAGCATAAACTGTGATGGCCAAAGAAGCAGAAATTGTATATTGGAGATTATCCCATTCATTAAACCATAATAATCCACCACTTGTCTTGTAAATGTTGCTGCTTCCTTTCTGTATACAATTACACAGGAATTGCTCTGCTTCATCTTTGTTTGCTCCCAAATTCCCACTGCTTGGAAACTTCCCTTCCAAAATTTGCTGCATACGAAGTATAACACAATTGATATCAAGTCACATTAAATATATTTTTAAGTCAATCGAGTCACGTACCTAGGACGTGTGGAACCATATACGTAGTATAACATACAATAATTGTACGGTGTGCATATATTCTTAATATAACTATATCGCGTAAATTTGAGTACCTTGGCGACAAGAATTTGAGCACCGACGAATTTGTCATCCCACGAGAACATGGATCTAGTACCACCATTACCCTGAAAGCTCTCAAGGAAGTCCTGGTAGATTTTATCTCCAGTGGCTCTTTGTAGCCATGCAGCTGCCCATAATAATTCATCCTGCATAACATTTTGTTTCAGTTAATTTCACTCCTATTATTTTTGTTTTGTAAATATATACCAATTATTTCTTTAATACCTGAAAACCAGTGCTTGAGTAGAATTGTCCTACTGATGGAATACTATCCGAATATTTTCCTTGGTGACTTTTTGCAAAATCAAATAACTGTTCACAAAACAATTATTTATCATGAAATTAAAAATAATTCTTGTAATTTTCTAACCCCTCCAATTAAAATAATAATAACAACACGACAGTGATCCATTAGGTCACAAATTAAATGAGTTTTCCAGCCACAAATTTTAAGGCACAAAAAAAATTTGGTTGATACATAATTTGTGACACTTAAATTGGGACGGAAGGAGTATAGCACTATTATATCCCGGCGTGTTTTAACAAACTTATGTCATATAAAATTGATCAAGCCATATAATCAAATAAATCTAGGCACATATGTGCTATATACTATATAGTACTTTGGTATCATAGTACCTGTTTGGCATGAGTAACAAGCAAAGATGAATATTTAGGATCAACATGCTGGAAGGCAATGGAAGCAGCGGCGAGAGCAGCCGAGGTTTCACCAGCCAAGTCAGAGCCAGGGCTAGACTCGTCGATCTTGTAGACCGTCCTTGGTGTGGTCATATCCTCAGGCCTCTGCCAACACTGATGATCGGAGTCCCCGTCTCCAACACCAGCGTAGAGGAGGTTGGGCTGAGGGTGTGCTTTGATGAAATAGTCAGTGCCCCATTTGACAGCAGCCAATGCATTTTGGAGCTCATTTTGGGCCTCAAGTTGGGAGCCAAACTCAACTACACTCCATGCTAGTAGTGTTACTGTAAATGCCATTGGGAGTCCAAATTTTACATTGTCTCCTGCATCATAGTATCCTCCTACTAGATCAACCTGTTAATTTAATCATAAATATTTCAACCCAAAATTAACAACAAAAGACATAAACAGAACAAAAAAATATAAAGATTACAGACTTTAAAGGGTATGTACCACGTACAATAATCAATTATTTCATAAAGAAATAAACATATTAACATGACTATACGTACGTTACATTTGCAATTTTAATAAATCTTAGATTCGCTTAGGAGTAGAACAATTTATATTTTTATAAGCAACAAAATTTAGTCAAATGTATGTATATGCATGCAATGAAGATTGAGAAGGGAATAAAGATGGCATAGATGTATCAATACTAGCTACTACATACACCAGCATCCTGGCCATCCTTCAAACCCGAGTCACCACGCCATGTAACACGTTGTTGAGCAGGCAATTGGCCTGATCTTTGAGCTTCATAGTATAGCAAAGAATTAGTTAGAGCTTGTTTATAATCTAAAGATAAAACACCATTAACTAGAAAAGACATTAGCACAACTAGTGGTAATAAGCTGAATTTATTTCTAGTTGATGCCATTTTTTTTTTTGTAACAATTATTAATTATTACTAAGGAGAAAATTGGTGTTAGAAATACAAATGAATTACAAAATGCAATGCATTCTCAAAACTCTTATAGATATTTATTGTGATGATAAATTGTACCTCCACTGATTTTGTGCGATATTTTTTTCCTTTTCAAAAAGATTTCATGCATGCATATATATGTAAAGTTTTTATTTTTGTTATATCATACTATTTTTGGCTCTTATTATTTGATATTCTTAATGAAGATCATATAATTTCACAATTTAATTTTCTGCTTCTTAAAAGATATACTTCCTCCGTTCTTTATTACTTGATCTGCTTTGACTTTTACACTATTCATCACCCCTTCTTTGACCTTCTTTTGTGAATAATATGTAAGGAAAAATATATTCATGTATGATATTTTTGGATTCATCTCAATAAGTACTATCATAATATATAACTTTTATAATTTTTATTTATGGAGAATTTAAGTTGTTGATTGTTAAAGTTTTGCATTGACAAGCATGATAAAAGAAACAGGTCAAGTAAAAAATAACAGAAAAAGTATTTAATAAATTATTAATGTCTTTCCCTGGTTAATTGATCGATATATATATATGGATCATAAAAGGGAATCCAAAAGATTACAATTATTACAAGCCAAATATGTTAGGAGTATAGCCTTGGCTTTGATTATATGCAATGATTGTACACTAATTTGATTTAGTCAAACTTCTCCATTCTTAAAGAATTTAATTTAGTCAAACTTCTCCATTCTTAAAGAATATTAAACTCACTCACCTTCACGACGAGGTCAAAATAAAATAACTTGTACCGTATTTTATGATTCATTCACGTATAAATAAACAAATTAGCATGCAAGACCTTGTTCTTAATGTAAATTTTTAAGATTTAAACTTTTTTTTATAACAATTTAAACCTATTAATGGTTAAATATGCACAACAGATATTGTGTAAGTCAAAGAGATTAGAGTTTTAGGAACAAAGTGAGTATTCCGTGTATATATATATAGCCCTATAAACTTTACATACAACGCAAAAAGTTAGGAGCATACTGAATCCAGTCATGGAAATTTCATTGATTTCTTGGAGCAAACACTCCTCTATACATTTCTCTTTACCACTTTTTCTTATTGCTTCTTCATTGAATCATATGTTACATTCTCAAATTTCTTTCTTTGCATGCAGGCGATTTTCGCCCTAATCTTAATAACAAATAAAAATAAAAAAAATTTAAACATTTTTTTTTCCCTTTCTACACCATTGGAGTGCAGCAATGTTGCAATCCTAGACATCAATTTTCAATAATCGACGACTCACAAAAATTGGACTTAAAAAAAAAAAGAAAAAAAAAAAAAAAACTATAAAAATGGTCATGTCACGTGTAATATAAGAGGTCACGTGTGGCTAGAGATAATTCTAGTGTAAAGGAACTCATTCCATGTATCAGGAAGACCAGGAAGGCACCAGTGAATGCAATCAGCAAACGTTTCAGGGTCTGCTTGTTGTTCTGGTGTTAACAATTTCCCTTGCTTAATGGTATGTACCGATGTGTGAGCTTCTTTTCGATACTCCGACAACGACGTTATGTTGAGGAAGCTCACCGGAACCCTCTTCATCGACTGTGTTATGTTGTGTGCAATCCTAAATAGTCTCTTGTCCGTGCCTACGTTTATTGGCATCGATGTGTTCAAGATTGGTGTCGTCTCTAGGGCACATTTTATACCATCAGGGTTGTCCCAGTCCAAACTCCTACAAGAAAAAATGACAAGTACTCATTAAAAATCTACATATAATTAAGTCATCTTATCGATTAGTCCATGCTACCACTATACACGTAAGAATATGACATGTGCGTATGAATTGTGCATACGAATATAAATCAAACACGAAACAAATACTTCACTATACAAGTACTAATTAGTTTAGTTTGTGTATAACAGATTAAACAGAATAAGATAGAAATTTACTTGATATGAAGAGGAGACATGCTCATGAAGAAAACCGTTGTACGATTAGGATCAATGTTTTTATCCACCCACTTAGACCATGTCTTCAACACCTTTGCATAAGCCACCGGCCTCTCAACCTCATCGTACTCGGTTGCCCCTTCATCGAACGATCCTCGCCTGCTCGATTAATCAATAAACCACCATCATTACTAATCATTCAAAGCATTACTCAATACAGTATTAATCAATGAATTAAACCAAACAATACTAGCTAGCTAGCTAGCTAAATAGTTACTTACAAAACTTTCATGTTAAAAGTGTTCATCCACCAAATGTAAGTGTTGAAGATTAGATAATCTGCATCCTTCCAATTTACACCATGTTTTTTGATTGATTTAGGCATGATGATTCTGTCTAAAATGCTGTGCATTTTTGGATCATCAGAATTTGATTCTACTAAGAATGGTGCCCAATAGAATTCTACCGTAGCATTGTAGTCCTGCATTACACCCAATAACAAATGTTACAAATAAAATAAATTAAAAATTCTTATCTTAAATTTCAAGCAAAGTTGTACAGTAGTAGGAATATACACATAACATATGATATCCTCAACCAAAATGATTTAAGACTATGGTTTATATACATTATTTCATCATATCATATGATAAATTGCATGCCATATGGCCCACAAAATTGCACTTTTATTCATAGTGGGTGACCAAATTCTTACAATATGTTAAAGAAAAAAAAAATATGTAACAAAAAAAGTGTTGGTTTTGGTTTGAAAAGAAATGTTGATTACAATTGATTGGAATATTATAAACTTTTAAAAGTAATTTAACCAATTCTTTTTTAATACTTTGTTTAAAAGTTGTTCCAATTATGATCTTTGGATCCCTAATTTTGCTAATTTGCATCATTACATTTAACAGTAAAACTTACCACTAATCAAATTAATCAAACAGAAATCTCAATAATTTTCTTATATTACCTTAATAATGATACATACTGTTTCCCTTCATTATAAATAGCCAACTAACCATAAAAACAAAAAATTATGAATATGATTTGATTATTGTTTGACTTGCATTATAAATAAAGCTGAAAAAACTAACCACCAAAATCACATTATTATGATATTTTGAGACCACCGACTTGAGCTTATTCAACATGATAATGACTCATTTATACTACCTTAGTCCGGAATAACATTTTGCATCACTAGTCATTCAAATTACACTATCGACGTGACAACAATCGAACAAGGAAAATTAAGAGACAAACCTCGACCCTGAAGATGTTAAACGATCCAGTCTTGACCAAACTCTTCCTCCTAGAAGGAACAACCGATTGAACAAAGCACACCATTGATTCCCATTGATTTCTATTTAATGAGTCACCCACAAACATCAATCTTTTATTTCTTAACTTCTCTAGCAATAATTTTGGCTTGAATCTGTCACAATCCACCAACCATAAAAATTCAATAAATGATCATAAATTTAATTATTTAAATACAAACAAGCCATATTCATATATTATAATATAAACATACCAAAAACAATACAAAAATCATATAATTAATTGAGTAATTAAAAAGAAATTAATTCTTACTTTGGCAAATTGCAATCTTTAGGTTGCCATCTCCAATTTTGGTAAGTTGAATCTTTTCTTCCATTTCTCATACAAGTAACTTGTTCAGTGAGAAATTCGCATTCATGTTCCTTATATAACGGGTGTGTAACATTATCAAAAACCCATTGTCCTGTAAATAAATCACATTCTTTTGGAGGTAATTCAATCTCTTCATCATCTTCTTCTTCTTCAACTACAGTTTCACTTTCTCTCTCTTCCTTAATACTTTCTTTCTCTAAAACTGTCTTCTTTACATCATCATTATCCTCAGAATTCAGTTCCCCTGTTTCTTGCTCTGTTCTTGTTTCGATCGAAACATCCTCTGTTTTGGCCCCAATTTTAGCTGAAATTTCTGGGTTTTCCATTATTTGAACTGGGTTTATGTCAATTGGTTTGTTTTCTTGCATTTCTTGAACTTTTTGCTTAGAAAATGGGAATTCTGCAATCGATTTGACATCCTCATTGTACATGAAAAACCCGAAAAGAAGTATCGAAAACACGACGACGAAAACAGAGAGGTTGTTGTTCTTCTTCTGCTTCATTGGATTGTCAGAGGAGAGAAGAAGGAGTGATGATTTTCGACGCATGGGATTGAAAGGAGAAGAAATGGTGAGTTGAAAAAAACAGTGGAAAACAGAGGAAATATAAAGAAACAGGGGAAAAACAGAGCATCATTTATGATTTTATGATGAAGATTTTGTTGTAAAAATTTGTTTAAGGGTTTTGTTTGGTGAGAAGGGTTTGTCTTGAAGGAACCAACTATTGGGAGAGTTGTCTTTCTCAATGCTTATTTCTACTCCATTGCTTAACTACTTTGCACTAACTCAAAAATATATATATAATTATAAATAGTTTAATAAATTAAATTATAAAAATAAAAAGGGGGACAATTGTGTTTGTTTGAAGCTTCATCTTTGACAGCATTATGGTCATTTTCTATGAAATTCTTTTCACCAAATTATGAGAATTAAATAAGTTTGGTTTGTTATGAAAATAATTTAAAAGGGTGATAGAAATTTAAAATTAAAATTTTTTATAAATATTGAAATTTGTGGTTAAAAGATTATGAGGTAATGAATAGTAAAGATTGTGGGCCTTCATAAATTAGGAGCCTAGCTTGGTATGACAAGTGAAGCATAGCACAAGACAAGACTGTGGGCCTTGCATTGTAATTTTGTTTTCTTGGATGGCCTTATGTTTTAGGTAACATTACTGTTTAAATTTTATTCAAGGCAATAAAATATGTGAGTACGAGCATTTTTTATGATCAAATAATAAATTTTCAAATTTCTAAAAAATTTGTGAGCCACCAAATTGATAAAGAAAAGCACCCTTCCTCCTTCTTCATGTGTAAAAATAAAATAGAAAAGTACCCTTATTTCCAAGATAAGTAATGTTAGGAATTTTATTTTATCTTTCCTTTATTTGAAAATGACTCAAGTTATGGTTTTTTTTTTTTTTTTTTTTTTTTTTTTTTTTTTTTTTTGTGATAGATCATTAAATAAGTGAAAGTAATTCATTAAATGTTTGTTTAATTATATATATCAAAGTTAGAGCCAACATAGAAGTGGATGAAATGCTCATATTTAAATCATCCTTCTTATTACTGATTTTATTGTGTATATGCATGGGGATTAAGAACTAAAACCCTGAATGCATCACATCTTTTGTGTCTGTAATTAGATCAATGAGTTGTCAAAATTTTCGGCAAGTGTCGTCTAATTATATAGAAAGAGTACATGTGTGTTGATTTCTACTAGTAGGAAACTAGGAATTACAAAGCACAAAGTACTTGAAATATATTGCAATGATAATGTTATTCCAATAAGTATTCATTGCTAATTATAAGTGCATTGATAATTAATTTATTATGCTTCTGCTAAGTGATTTGTAGCTATTTTTATTTTACCAATGAAGAGGAAGAAATAATTACGAAGTATAAAATAGTGGTTATCTGTACAGCATGTCTGATCTTTTATCGTTATGATATTTTATATATATATATATATATATATATATATATATATATATATATATATATATATATATTCTAGTGGATTAATAACTCTTAAGACTTAAGGGACATGGGAGTTCTTGATGGTATGAAAAATCGTCATCCCAAAAACCATCATTAGTATAGATCAAACCTTCTTAACGGTATAATATAGAACTCCTACCAAGTACTACTTGGTTACTTGTACATTGTACTTGTCTTCTACCACTACAACACTATGCTTAGAGTGTACACAAGTAGCTAGCAACTTATACCATAAGTAGTAAAGAGTACATTCTAAACAGACTAATTAGATCAAACAACGTTATTAATTGCTAGTTGAGGCATCATTAGTCAAAAGCACTAGTTGAAGCTTTGAGAAATGATTAGGTTGATGAACTAATTAACCAAACTTAATAAGTTTAATACTAATTAATAATGAGTAGCTTTCTATTTGAGAAAAGTAGAAACTAAGTTAAAACCCCACACCTTTATCAAAACTATGCGTAGTCTAGTAGTACACCAACAAATGTCTTCTTCTTATACTTCGACCATTTGCCTACTTTAATTTATTGTTTACTCCCTCATATACTTGGTTCACTCTCAATTTTTTAAGGATGAGTATTGCATCTCTTTTATTCCAAGGCAAGCAAATTATTTGTACATTGAAAATCCATTATATATAAAGAGAATATAGTTAGTTGTATGTTAAATCAATCACCAGATTAGTGGTTGCTAGATTTAGGTAAATGAAGAAATTAAGTCATTAACTATTATTGGATTCAATTCCTAGGATTAATTACATGGTTGAATTACTTAATGGGAGTTTTGATAGGGAAAATAGTTCATTAACATATATGAAACATCCTTTTCCAAATTAAGGGTAACATACATTATAAGCCTTATATAATTTGCCTTAAATTATTCACTTAAGATCTGTTCTGATTTACTGAACTAAACTAAATTAAAATAAATATTTTATGAGAGAAGAAAATTAAGAACTGAACTGATTGAATCAAACTGAAATGAAACTAAGTTGAAGAGAATAGACCCTTATTTTAAAATATATAAAATCAATTGGGGTTGATAAGTTCATGAAAAAAAAAAACATTTAGATAAAGGTTAATAAAAGGCTACAAAACTTCAACTATAATCAAAATAAGTTTTTACCAGTTTTAGTTCAATAAGATTATATGCTAAAAAAAAAGTTCAAATAAATTGAGAAAGTGAAAAAAAAAATGAATAAAAAATACAATCCATTCTTTTCACCTATAAATGAATTTATTAACCATGATAGGAATTATCAATAAGTATTTTAGTTGGAGACTAAACTATACTAACTGTTTTGGGTGTTTTTGTCCCTCAGGAGAGTTACAACACGAAAACTGATCCTGGGTGAGCTGTACCTGCAAAACAAACGGAGACACCAGTTGGGTGGTGCTCCGCCTCCGACGCACAAGTTAGAAACTTGAAGGGAGAAAAAGGTGCGGAAATTTAGGTGGGGATCCGCACGGATTCCTAGCTCAGGATGTCTCTATCAAAGAGTAAAATGTGTAATAAATGGTGAAAAACGTGCCCCCAAAAAGAGGGTCATCTCCCTATTTATAGGGTCTTTGGGATTTGAGCCCCTGATTAGGTCACTGTACCCTAATCAGTGGTGGGTTGCGCCGCTTTGCGGCTTTCTCGGGATTTGGGCCTGAAGGCCGCCCTTTTTTCCCTTATTTTCTGGAGTGTCACGTGTCGAGCAGGGATTGGTCCATTTTAGACCAATCTGGGGCTGACACGTGTCACCTTCTGATTGGGCCACGTGGCAGGGTAGAATTACCCTAAACATTTTCCCCTCACAGATGTGATGTGGCACGCCACGTGGCATCTGTGACACATGTCACGCTCCGGCTGGCGGTAATTTTACCGTTACAGAGTAACCGTTCATCTTCCGGGTAAACTACGGAAATGCCCCCAAATTTACCCTCTATATATAGCCGTTTTACCCTCATAATTTTGTACGTTTACAAAAATTTTCTAGAGAGAAAAACTTCGAGAGAGCAGAAGTCATCAGTTTGAGTCAGGCGCGAGCAAGAAACTTTGTTCTTCCGCAACCCAGCCGGACCCGCCTTCCTTCAGATATCAAATCCAAAGGTACCGTCTCTGTCTCTTTCAGCTCTTTTCTTTTTTTCACCGCTTGTACATATTTCTTGCAATAAATGGATGCATCACCAACACACACGGCATAGCCTAGGTTAGAGTCCAGCCGGTCACCAGGGACGGCTGAGTCTAGGACTGGGAGTGCCGGCTCGGGGTGTTGGGACCACCCTTTGCCATGGATTCCGACCAGTTATGTGTCTGTGCAGGACACCATGGCTCGGACAATGCAGACGGCCACTGATCCGAATTATAGAAGCGAAGGCTCAGGCGACCAAACGCCTGAGGGAGAATCGTCTGGTCAGGGAGACCAGACGGCTCTGGAGAGATCCCCTCCGCGCGCCCCTTCAACCCCTGCTGACTCTTTCTTGGAAGAGTGTGACTAAGGCGGCGACGAGGCCGCCTCTGCCCCCATGGACCAAAGCGAGGGGGAGACGGAGAGCGACAGCTCCGCCTCTACCTCCGAGAGCAGCGATGACTTGCCCCCTCTTCCGGATAGCGAGGAGGAAAAAAGGAAAAAGTGGAATGAGAAGGACGATCCCTTCAGCATCCACGTCTCCTCCAAGGACCGAATCCAGATGGGGGAGAACTTAGAGAACTTTAAGAAAATGCACCCGCTTGGAGACGGGTATAAGATCCGGGTGCCGCCTGAGCTGGGCACCATCGCTTGGGGGGATGATCAAGAGAACGCCAACAACTATTTTGGCTGTTATGAGGCGGCGTTCAAAGCCGGTCTTCGCTTCCCCCTTCACCAGGAGGTGAAGGCAATTTTGAGAGGCTACGGCCTTGGGGTCTGGCAACTTACCCCCAACTCCTGGACCAACATTCTGGGGTATGTTGTCGCCTGCGAGTTCCAAGGGATTAACCCCGGCTGGGAGGCCTTTGCAAGCATGCATTATCTCAGCAGAAACCCAGGCGGCTGGAGGGCGTGGTATACTCTAACCACACAACCGCAATACATGATGACCTTGGACAAGGTCTCCAAGTTCGATGGCTGGAAGCACAGGTTCTACCTGATGTCTGCCCCAACCAGACGGGAAAATTATGAATTCCGTCTGTACAATAAGAAGCCCGACTTGTTGGGTAGGAAGTGCGCTCTTCCCCGGATCCCAGAGGAAGACTTTGACAAAATAATCAAGGCAGACTTTTTCGGCCTCACAGACGCAACTCTGTCAACCGGGGAAACAATAAAAGTCCCTAAGAATTGGATTCCCAAGAGCGCCTGGTTCAGGGATGAATGTTTCCTAGCCGCCTGCGGGCTAGGGCACATGTTTAATAAACGTATGCGCCTGGGTTTTGATAGGCCGTCGTCGAGCCTACCAAAGATAATGATTCCTATCTTGGTCTCACTAACAATAGTAAGGGTAAGAAAGGGTCGAACCCAAGAGAGGCGTTGAATCAACCACCGAGTACTACCGTTTAAATAAGCTAAATGAATTCTAAATTGGGTTGGTTTTGAGTAACTTCTTCTAAATCAACTCAACTAAAGCTAAGAGGAGATTAACAATATTAAGAGGAATCTAGGGCTTGGGTTATACCACTCAATTTCATCACAAATCACAATTAGCATGCAACAATCAAGGTAAATTAATGGGATAAATTAGGGGAAGTCATCTAAAGCACCCAACTACTCTCTCAAGCTAGAGGGATTACTTGAATCATGAATACAACCTACTCTCGTGGTTACATAGCATAAAACAAGTGTTAAAGCATAATCACGATGACATAAACATTCCCTTGACCGGTAATCCCTATTCTCATGGCATTTCGGGTCAATCAAGCATAAGGGAGCTAACTCAAGTTCATCTCTCGATCCTTCGTTGAGAAAGCTTGGATAAATAGTTCTAGCAATGGCCATATACAAGAACTAAGCAATTAAACCACTTAAGCTCAACTAATTAACATCCCACAACAACCAAATTAGCACATGCAACAAGTAATTAGTGACTACATTGAGGGTTTTGCCCAAACCCTAGAATTTATACTACTCACAATCCATGGGGGTTAAAGCAATTAAAGATTTCAAGCAATTCATGAACAAGTTCAAACTAAGGATTAAGCTAATTAACAATCCAAAACATGCAAGAACTAGCAAATAATTAACAACAAAGTAAAGAGAAGTAGAAAAGATGAGTAAGAAATGGTTACTATGAAGCTTCAAAGTGAGCAACAATGGTGGATTTTGTCTTCCACAATGATTGAATTTGAATGTTTCCAAGCTAATAATTGAGAACTAACTAGTGATTTGAGAATTTAATGTTCTAAGACTACAAACTAAGAGGAAAGCTCTAAAAAACTGCATCCCCGTACAAATGAGCTCTAAAGGGGTATTTATATGACCCCCAAATAAAAAGGACGGAGAAAACAAGGAAGGAGTTCGACTGCAGGTCTGCACGGACGTGCCAGATTTGGCACGGACGTGCAAGGCTAAGCACGGTCGTGCCAAGTTTGGCACGGACGTGCAGGAGGGCCAAAATGGAGGCAGAAGATTCTGCCAAGGTCTGCACGGACGTGGAGCTTTTGGCACGGACGTGCAGACTTGCACGGACGTGCTATCATCTTGCACGTCCGTGCAGGATGCCCTGCCTAGACTTCTTAACTTTGGGAAGCTGTAAC